ATGGATGGATGGAGGGAGGGAGGGAGTGAGGGATGGATGGATATATGGATGGATGAATCAATGGATGGATGGGATGGGATAAATGGATGGGAGGAGAGAGGGAGGGAGGGGGGATGGATGCATGGATGAATGGATGGACTAGAGGATAGATGGATGGAAGGATGACATGGCATGAGACCAGCATAATGGGGGGAAGGGAGGGGGAGGGAATGCAAAATAATGCAAAGATACTCACATGCATCCTCTTATAAGGTTTCATTCTCATGTTACAAATATGATCCCAAGCACCCAAGCCTATCAACGAAAATAGGGTTTCATAATTAAAAAAAAAAAGATTCACATAGCAAGTGTAACCAAAGATGATCACCTTATTATTACAATAGGCCATTTATAGGACATAATCACATGACTGTTACTGGATGATGGAAACATTTAGACCTCCTTTATTTGAAGGGGGAGTAGTATGTAATTTGATAGAAAAACTGAAAATGAATAACATTATTTCAAACAACTTCTGTCAGAAAGTTTTTGCTTTAAATAAACTCTCCGTAACTTTTATTACATAAAATTTCACAAGAAAATTCCCATGAGCACACCCGAAACTTTTACCCCAAAGTCCCTCTCCCCTGGGTGGCTAGCCACCCAATTCAACCCTTTGGGTGCCCCAGGGGCATCTCCCCTATGTTCTCCCCTATATTTGCTATATGTGCCACCAAACAGGGTATGGTTTTCAGCGATATTACTCTGGAAGAGGGTATATAAAATCGCACTCCCTCTGGGACAGGGTGTATGAAATTACGCTCTCTCCTCTCTAGAACAGGGTATCCATTTTCGCAATACCGGAAAAGGGTATGATTTTCAGTGATCTTGCTCTGGAACAGGGTCAGGGTTCAGTGGGCTCAGCAGCTACATCCCTACCTTAAACGGGCAAGAGTACCCTCCCCCAGGTTGGATGCGCCCTTGTTACTGTATCTTGTTCAGTTCTGTGTGTTCAACTTACTTTCTAACAGACTTTTGGAGCCTGGTGTGATGGAGCTCACTCTATTTTCATATTTTGCCGGAAGAACATAATGTTTATCAGGGCCAGCTTCTAGAACTAAAACCTTGAGCTCTGACAGGGAACTCTCCATTCCTAAACAAGAAAATTCCCTTTATTTTAACAAGTAGTCACTCATTTATATCTCAAGTAATGTGGTTCACCCCAAGAATAACGTTGGCTAGTTGACTTTAAAAAAAATCTTAATAGGGTACTCAAGTGTGACGTCACGACAAATAAATTTTGACTTAATCATTTTTGATCTTCTATAGACATTTCTATAGACAACCAAAAAAGACATTTATTTGCATACCAAAATTGGTCAAATATCAGCTGAGATATAACCATTTGAATATATAATTATCCCACACAAATCACTGTTTTTTCAGCTTCATTCAAAACGTTTTGAACTAGCCGAAAATACAGTGACTTGTATGGGATAATTATATAGTCCATTGACCATATCTCAGCTGATGTTTGTCCGATTCTCGTTAAATTTGGTGTGCAAACGTCTTTTTGATTGTCTATCGAAATTGTTCCCTGCTAGCAGAGTCTCTCTTCTCTTTCTCTCCCTTCTTTCTCTCTCAACCAAAACAAAAGGAAAATGGGCTCTGCTAGCAGGGAATACGAAATTGTTGACCAAAAATATAATCAAGCGAAAAATAATTTTTGTGACGTCCTCACTTGAGTGCTCTATTTGTAGAAGATAAGCTTGTACAAACTGCATCTTTCAAAGTAATACAGTAATACCAATAATAACGATTTTAGAGGGGGTAGGGAGGGGTGTACTCTTACCAAGTGCACATGCCAGACTACCTCCTACCATTCCACCACCAACAATCGTTACGTCATAAAAATCATCCTTTCTTTTGCTCGCTGATGTACGTATTCTACGAATGCTGCAGCTCTGGATGCCAAAATTTCGTGCAGAGCGTCGCAAAACTGCAAACATTTTGGACAAAATTTTTTTAGGTATTTTTTTTGTTGCTCTGGAAATTTTTGTTATTGAGAAGCACTGCTGGGATTTAGTATTGCGGGCTTACGTATCACACCACAGGAACTCCAATTTTTTATACACTTTGCAAACCTTAATTTATTCGTCTAAATTTGACTATTAGACAGTTAAATTAGGTCCTAAATACAACAAAAATTAAATTACATGGGAAAGAAGATCATATTTGTTTTATAAGTTTAAGATGTTTGATGTTTTGATGCGGTAGGAAAAAATGCCAATGCGGGCTTCCTTTATATTGGTGACTTCCTTTCCAAGATGGCGGCCGCAGTGAGTGCAGACAAGAATGTTGTAGGCCTTCTTAACGGCCTCGCCAAGAGACAATTCTTCGGAGAATCCGAAATTACAGATAGTTTTCTTAAAGTAGAGCTCTTTCCCGACCTAACTGATGAAGAATTTGAAGCAATGCTAGGGAAATACGAGCTTCTTTTACGGAATATTGTTGCTTCTGACATGGACTTCAACCAACTTGAGGCGTTTCTCACCTCGCAGACGAAAAAACGCGAAGGCGCTCTAAAATTAGAACAAGCTGCTGCTTTCATGAAATTCTGGAAGTCCCAGAAGACTAAGATTCACGACAGTTTGGTGCAGAAAGCGTCTTGGAATAATAAATTGAAGGATGTTAGTTGGAGGATTGATTTGAAGACTCAGGCAAGAAGTATTGAGCAGATCAACACTCCTGTTGCTATAGTGGAAATGCAGGTTGAGAATGCTGCAACTAGACATAATGGGAAAAACGGCAACAAGGTGAGAATGGAAATAAGACAGTCTCATATTTTTTATCCTATATTAGATCATGGTTTCGTCCCATCTCAGATCATGATTTTGTCCCATTTTCAGATCGCATGATTTTGTCCCATTTGAGATCATGATTTTGTCCCATTCTCAGACCACATGATTTTGTCCCATTTCAGATCACATGATTTCATCCCATTTCAGATTATGATTTTGTCCCATCCAATTTTGACCCTATGAAGTTTGAAGACAACCATTCATCACAAAAGCTTGTAATGGATAGCATTGTTTCACCCGCCCTCAACTCATTATTGCATTTTCTATTTCTCAACAGGATGTGGACATATTCCAATTTGAAATGGATGAGAGCCAAATTAACAAGTTGGTTTCAAATATTGAAGACATTGAAAAGCAGCTTGCATCATATGCCCAGTCCTAAACATAACAGCTTATCTTACTAAAGATATTATGATTGCTGTCCATGAGGACTTAAATACTTTACTATGAGCCAGAAACAAGGCATAACCAAACTTACTGCGGTTTTCAATATTCTGCGAACTGGGACAGCTTGTGTTGAATTGGTTTTTACTGTCACTAGTCAAGAATATAAAAGCTATGCCTTTAATTTTTGATTGACTGAAGCGAAAGCCAAATTTCAGTGTGCAGCTCACAACGACCAAGTTCACAGGATATCTAAAACCACAGTGAACTAATTTGGCCAGTGAACATGAGGTAGTGACTGATTGGCAAATATTTTAACCCCTGCAGTCTTAACAGTTAATTTACTGACAATATAAAACTTGTCGCACAAAACTCTAACATCGTAAGTTGCCTGGCAGCTTTTCATGATTTTTTTTTGATTCTGAGAAACCTGCTAAATACCTGGATTTGTATTGAGATAAGATACCTGGAATTGTATTAGGCTAGTGATTTCAAAATTAAGGGTTGATAAATTGTAGTGGGACAACATACAGTGTAAAATGTGTATAATAGAAACAAACTAAAGAAATTGTACATCAAAATTATCATTTTTGTAAACAAAAAATTACTAAATTCTCCAAGGTTAGATAGATTTTTAATAGTACAAATAAATAAGAGAAGCAGTCTCTCAATAAAGTCCATAAAAAAACTCATGGTACAAGAGGTGCCCTGACGAAGACTCATGGCTAAAAATAACAGCTAGTCAGTTACCAGTCATGACGTCAAACCAAAATAGTTTTAGTTCAATCATACTATGTTTCTGGCTCTCAACTTTACTCGTCAAAATCAGCAAGGCAAAGATTTGACTGGACAAGTTCCAATTCTTGCCAGACATTGTCTGATGACTCGCTGTTATTTTTAGCCCTGGAGATGGTCTCGTGCTCAAGCTTTTTCATTGGATGGGTAGCCATCTCACACACCATGATTGGTTAATTTTAAGGATGTCATTGGTTCTGTACAGAAATCTTTTTTAAAATTTCGTCCAAGGGTTTCATAAAGTTTTGATATGATGGGAGAAGGTCATGAACTAGCCAAAGACTCTATAAAGTGAACATTTTATAAAATACTAATCTATAAATCATAATTAAAACAATTTTTACTGCAGCATTCTCTGACCCTTAGAGAAACCCCTTTTCACCTTTAAGGGCTTAGTACTGTCGTAACACAATGTAAGAGTTCAAGTTCATTATAATTTACAATATTATTTTGATTTTGCTTACTGTACCTAAATGTGGTCAGGTGGGAAAAGGAACAGCTTGCAATGCAATATAATGATTAATCCTTTAAACACATAGTTTATTGATGAAATTCTATGACTGCATACGTCCCTGTAATCATCCAGTCTTTATCTACTGCTTCGACAGCATCGTCCTTTCCTTCCTCTAAACCAACAACAACCTCAGCCTTGATTGTGCGCAAAGCACACAGCGGAGCTGGATAGAAGCCCCACAGCGCCTCAGCAAAGGGCATTGTGTGTGGCCACTTACGATCACCTACTAATTTACGGTAGCTCAAGTCACCTTTAAACAGCAACAACTTTGATTTGGCTAATTCATCATATAATTCACTGGCTGTTGATTTCATTTGGCTAAAATCATGACATAATGTCCAATAAAAGTGTTTCTTTAAAACAAATGAACCATTTTGGATGCGTTCTTCCCATCTGTGCCCCAGTTTGGAGAGAGATTCTACATCAGATTCTTTCAATTTCTTAAGTGTCCAGAAAAAATCCTCTTGGGTCGTGTCTGAGACAAACCAAGGAAAATCTTTCAGATGAAGGAAGATCACTTGTGCCTTATTCAAATTTAGCAAGGTTTCAGCTAGACAAAGGTCTGTGAAAAGTTCAAAGCCAGCATTATCTAAGATGAAGTCAATCCTCTGGTTGCTTTGATCTTGAAGTGTTTGCCAGATTCTACTAGTGTTGTTGACAAGTATATGTTTTCTCAGATCTTCAAGCTTTAATGACAGACCAGCGTTCTCAGCAACAACTTCTCCACCAGAAATTGAAAGATCACACTTGTTGCCCCAAAGTGAAAACTAAAAAGAAAACATTGGAATTGTTATTTAAGGCCCTGTCCACACGTATCCGGAAATCTTTGTATCCGCAAATTATTTTTTGCGGATACCAAAATGTTTGCGTCCACACTCAGCGTATTCAAATTGTTTTCACCGTCCACATGTATCCGTTTTCATAAAATTTGCGGATACGGAGACAAAAATTTGGGGACATGTGTTGAAGCAACCCATATCTGTAAAAAAAATTGTGGATACAAAAATTTGTGGATACGTGTGGATGGGGCCTAAAGCTTGAAGGCTCTCCTTGTCTACCTACATAAAAGCACTATAGTTACAGTTGAAATTAAAATGAAATTTCCCAATGGGACACACGGCACAATTTCAATTACCCCACCCCTTCCTTCCATCCTTCCCCTTACACTACACCCACACTGCCTTTCCCTACAAGTATTTGGTAATGCTTTGCTTTTTGGAAGCCACTAAAATAAAATGAGCAATTCATGGTTCCCCTTCAGGCAATAATGAACCAATCACCTTTGCAGCAGTTTTCCCAGTGAAATTAAAATCTTGTCCCACAAACTACGTAGTATTTGTTTTATAAAGTACTACACAAGGATTACAAGGCAAGTTTTATTTATTTTCAAAGGACAGTAAATAATTGAGGAACACTGTAGAACCCCTAAGATTTCATGAAAAATTCCATCATTATTCAGTGTTTTACTAGCTCTTCATAATCAACTATCTTCTATTCTAACGATAAAAGTTAATAGATTAAATAAATCTGCATTATTTACTTACCTGCAGGAACATTTCAAAGTGTAGTTCTTGTGTTTTAGAAATACTAGATTCTGAGAAAGCATCAAGACTAGCTACAAGAATATTGGCAAGGGAAGCTATGTTGTCCTGCTGCGACATGAAAGACGCTTGTTTCTGTTCCCTGAATGGGTCAAAATCTTGATGAAGTTTACTGCAATTGAACAACAAATATAAACAGATGATAAATAGCAAAGCACAAAGAGTCTGTGTTTTCAAGCTTTCCTGACAGTCATGTTGGCTGGAATCCCCATTGTTCTTTTGTGTGTTTAGCCTTGCACTTCATGTGCTTCAGAAAGTTGATTACGTGGGTTTGCTGTGTGATCAGGTCCATGTTGTCTTGAAATAAGCTTTTATCATGTGGTGGTATGTTTATTCCCATGCGAATAAAGATCTTGGTTTCTGCCTATGAAAACCCATTCTGAAGCACACAAATACAAGTCTATGTGGGTGAATTATTTACGAAGGAATTTAAGAGTGGCAAGAAACAAGAAATTTTTCAAAAAATTTGGGCTTCCTGTGTGATTCCACAGGGAGTCTACTATGAGTAAAACCTTGAGAAAGTAAAGATTAAGTGGAAATGAAATTAAAATAATAGTAAGCAATAGGAATGTATTCTTTTATGTATGGCAAAATTGATTCAATAATAAAGGTGAAATGTTTCAATTTTGGGCTTCCTGTGTAAAACCACAGGGAGTCCACTATGTGTAAAACCTTAAGAGAGAAAAAGAACAAAGGAAAAAGAAAAGAAAATTCTATACCTCAGTGCTAATGCCTCATATATTTTGCGATACATAAAACATTCACAAGTGAGCCAAGCTCCAGAAAACCAAGAAATCTTGCTTCCATCCACCAAGGATGTGGCGTTTTTTAAGAACTCATTCCAGAGATGAGCATCATTTTTAGTATCTTCAACCATTGACAGCTTCTTGTTAGTTTTCATTTCATAATTCAGTTTTGAAAGCCGACCTACAATATCTCTCGCATCTTGAGCATGTTCCTAAAAAGAAGAAGTATTTTTGAAAGATCAAAAGACCATAAAACAATAAGAATAATAAGTAGGGAGTTACAGTGGATTCCACAGAGTGGCTCTTCTTCCACTGGATTCCGATTGGAATTTAGAAGTTGATTTTTGTGGAGGGAGGAAATTCAGAAAACCCTTGAAGCACAAGAGAGAACCAACAAACAACTTTACTCACATATATGACACTGAGCCAGGTAGAACCCGAGCCTGGGTCCTATTGGTGAGAGGAAAGTGCTCTCATAGCTATGACGCCCATTTTTTCAATAAAAGAATTTACTTAACATTTTTCAATCATTTGTGGGGTGGGGTTTGGGGGGTGGGGGAGAGGGGAGGGGAGGATTTGCTGCCTAGGAATATCTGCAAAATCTGTACATAATCACCATCATGGCCTGAATGAATATGAGCTATGGAAAATATTATTCAATACTCTAGGACAGCAAAGTTTATTGGTTATAGCAAGTCTGTCATGAGAATGACAGATTTGAATGTGCAATCACAGGGAAAAGTCCTAAATTTATCCCAAGTGTTTTGATGGGTTGCGAGCAATCCCAAGAGAGTTAAGGGACATGGCGGCCATGTTGGTGCTGTTAACAATAAAAGTTTGATGAAAAATCTTTTTTGTTAAATACACCACCAACATGGCTGCGATGACTAAACGTAACTTGCAGTCCACCCTGTTGACAAATTACCTGTTTGTTTTCTCTGGTATACTCTGTTGCCTTACGGTGGATGCAATCTATCACCTTGGTAAGGATGGTTGGCATTCTGTCTCGAATCGTGAGGTAAGCATAGGACCTATACGACAATCATATCCTGATTCAGTATTAAATAAGTCATGCCTCTTTAAAAACCAGTCTTAGAGGTACAACTGATCAATACCACACATGTAAGGTCGACGGAGAGGGAGAAGGAGTGTGGGAACTCTGGCTTTCCAATTTTTCGCTGATATTCATTGAATTTTTGGCCCAATCAACTATAATGATTCTTGATTTTTTTGTGTGTAAATCTTCAGCTACAGTGCGTGGCCACGTTCAATGCCCGTCCATTGCTCACGAATGTTGATAAAAATAATGGTAATTTGTTTATGTCTTAAAAATATAGTATCTATTCTTACCCTTCGTCTTTTCCTGAGAGCGGTTCTGGTCTTTCAGACGACATCTTTTACACAGAAGAACAAGTTTAGGTTCAAATGTCAAGCACGAGACGATAATCAGGAGACATTAGGAGATCATGGGAAAACACAGGGAGCCCAAAACAGACTTTCACGAAGCTACGTCCAAATTCGAAAAAGAAAAATACGCAAAAAATAAAATGAAATAAAAAAGAAATAGAAATAAAACGTGTTCTCGTTTATGTTATTTGGACATTCTATATATATTCACTGGAAGAGCGGCTTCCAACGCATATATTATATAGCCTGAATAATCAATAAATTATTTATATAATATTTTATTACCACCACCTCTTTGTGAGAGTACATTAGTTTAAGTCTAATAACCTAAGATGCCTGTTGCTACCTTGGAAAATAGGACTACATACTACTCTTATTCTGATTGGCTAATTGCCTGTGCTCCATACCACGCGCGGTTACCACGGTATGACTTGACGCTCGCATCCGTGATGCGTTGGGATCTTTTTTTTCCTGTTAAGTAGTTTGAGCTGTCTATGTATATTACTATTCTTTATACTAAGAGATTGCTCCGGCAGTAATGCTTTGAGAGTCGACTAACTATTGAAAGATAAATGGCCTCGCATCTTACTCACTTCTAACGTGGATAGATGGATTCGTATCTTATGATTATATCTATGTGAAAGGTTTTTTTAATCAAAAGATTTAATAATAGTAATAATAATAATAATCAACTTTGTTTATAGAGGATAACACTTGACAGTAATTTGACTGATAAACTTGTGGTCCTCTGTTAACGTCTCTAGTTAATTAGGGACTGGACCGCCACAGACTCGTACCCAGTCGCTTCTCTTGTCTTATTGATCTCACGCTGTGGTTGATGGGAAGGATTTAGTAAGTTCCCGGTGCATCAGGGGAAGGACGGAAGAGAAAAGCGAAGTCACTTTTTCTCTCTCCTTCCCAAAAGCCACCGCGCGCAAAAAAGCCTGAAACAACTGGGACCGCCATTAACGTGATCATCCGAGCCACGTGAAGGTCTAACCATTTGCAGATGTAATTACAAAGGCAGCACCTTCTCCTCAGTTATTTTAAGACCCTGAGTGTTGGTCCGGCCGAGATTTGATTTATATCACAGGATTTTTAGGCATGGAGTGGTTGATTTCACCTAATTCTTCTTCCTTGGGTGGGATTCTCTTTCTGCGCAGCGCTCTGATCAAGCAACTTGCAAGAAAGTCCAAGAACTCGAGCCCCGTGAGGATACTAGTGCCGAGAAATAGACCAAGGGTTCCACCAACTGCACCTATGAAAGGAAACCATAGCAACACAATTAGGCTATACTCTAACCCTCCCGCCCTTTCCTGGGTAGGAGAGATAAAAGGATAGTACGATAATGAAGAAACGGAAATCAGTGATTACTTTTGTCGCAATCAATCAAACTGACAGGAATAACCTTCTTTCTTTCTTTTTCAATTTATAATAGTAATGATGAGAATGATGATGATGATGAAAATGGTTGTGGTGATGATGATGATGAAAGATAGTGAAGGATCATGAATGATGATGATTTTGATATGATGATGAATGATAATTATTTTGCATGATGGCGATGATAATGATTAATAATGACAAAAGATGATGATGGTAATGATGATGATGACGAAGATGATGAAGGATCAAATAATAACGACTATGATAACTTTAATTTAATAATAAAATAAAAATAAACCAATAACCATCATATCGAATTTAAGCCGTTATTTTCCATGACCAAGGGATGAGGGCAAAACAATTGTCATCTCACGGTACCCGATTTAGGGGGGAGGGGTGGTGTTACCCGGTACCCACCACCTCTGGAAGTGAAATCTTAGATTTTGTCTCCAAATATCTCCAAAACTAAAAGCCAAATCACATAAATGAATGGACTGTCTGTCTGCATGTGCTAAAAAACATATTTGTGTATAGAAATTGCCACTACAGACCCCCAGTATCGAGCATTTATCTCGGAGGGGGGAGAGGGTATGTACCGGTACCCACCACCTTAATTCATAAAATCGGGTCCCTATTTTCGACCACTGTTTTGACCTAGTCCCCAACTTATTAATTATAAGAGAGTACTGTGTTACCTATCAACGCCCAGTCGTCAAACACAGGTTTCTGTTCAATGACGTCATAACCAAGCGACTCAAAGAAAACGTCCAATGACACAACGTTGTTCCTGAATTAAAAATGCTCATTATTTCCAAGCTCAACCATTGGGTGGCTACGAGTTTTAAAAACAAGGGACAAAGAGTTATGTAAGATCTAAAAAAAGAGCTATATACTGGCGGGCTTTCTAGGTAATATTGAGCCACCCCCCTCCCTCCTCAAATCATCCTGGATCACTTTGAGTTTGCCTTTGATTAGTGTAGCGAGAGCACAAGAGTTGGAGGGACGAGCACACACGTTTTGGCGCGAAGATTCCCGCCAAATCCATAGGTAACCCAACAAAATAGGGAAATATTTTTATGATCGTGGATCCAGCACGAGAACTTCACGACCACAGAAGTAAGAGACAGCACAATAGCCGTTCACAAAACTTATCGTTTTCTCTATAGCTAGTGCATTTTCACCTTTACCTTATTACCTTATAAATTCTTGTTTGTCCTTTTCAGTCCTGTTCAGAAATGTTTTAAAAGACTCAGACGTTAGGTTGGTAATCAGCCGTGATGAAGAAAAGGCGCGAGAGAATGCGTTGTCTACAGGAGCAGCGTAGGATAGCTTGGCCTCGTACTTCGTGTATTCACATGGTTCTGGACAGGTATTGGAACATTTCACCACGTTGTCTGGAAAATCGTCTCAAAAGAAAATATCTATACATGTGAATGGCAACTCACTTTAATATCGTGCGTCGTTTCTCTTGACACCTAAATGGGTTTCTGATAGTAGCCAATTAAAACAGAGAAATAGCACGATCGAGCCAATCACGTCACAATGCTCGAATATAAAAGGTTGTGAAGTAAAGTAATAGGCAATGCTTAACGTGCGTATATCCATTCTCGTTCCCAGAGCCAGCGCTATTGCCAGCCAGCAGAGGGCAACGAGCTGACAATAGCGCAGGCTCTGGGAATGAGAATGGCGTATATCCAGTTCTGGATGCACGTGGAAGGTACTTAGTTGGTCGACGCTTTGGGACAGAAAATGACAGAAAATAAGATAAGACTCATATTTTACTTATATTTTAC